CCCCCCATCTGGGAGGCCATATCCGAATACTCAGACTGTCCTTCAGTTTGGGAAGCGAACTATTGGAATCTTTTGCCCGAATTCTGGGCGCTGTGACCGCATTGGACACCCTCATCCTAGAATCGGCGTTTGTCGACAGATCGCTTCCCTTCGACATCGCAGCTCAATCCGTGTTCACGCTTCCCACTCTGCGATGCGTTGAGCTACGCCACTACCAATTTCGTGATCCTTTCGAACTCGAGTCGCTTTTGCGGCCGAGCGCATCTCTGCGGAAGTTGAAGCTCGTGGCGATCGACTTTGGCAGAGACAAGGATATGGGAGAGGCTCCAACCAGCTCTCACAATAGCTCTGCGGATTTTAATCTTAACAGTGTCTCTAGTGGTCATCGCCTGATACTCGAATCATTGAATTTGGTGAACATGAAACCGCCCGATGTTAAATCGATGTTCCAATGCTTCACCAAGGTGGACATAAAACATCTAACATCGCTCGTCTTCAATCGTGGTCCCATAACTGGCCTTCTGCGAGCAAATGCGGGATCAATCCAAGACATTACGGTCGGGGCTGGATTTGGTACGCAGTGGCCTTTCTGGTTCTTCGACTCGCATCTGAATCCGCACGTCTCCAGGTATTCAAAGCTCCAGCGAGGATCGCTGGTATGAGATTAATCCCGAAACCCTCGGACGTGAAAACTATCTGAGCACCCTCAACTTCGAGGTGACGAGATTGAAGTCGGTGCTCATCGCGCTCCCTTTATTCGGTGAATTGGAGAATCTGACCGCCCTGAAAACAATACGGATCGTGCTTTGGCACTCATTGGATCGGGACGGCGACCAAGAACCACAGGAGTGGGCAGAACTCGATGCACGTTTGACGCAGACGCGTCCTGTGAAGGTCAACTTGTACGCATACTTTGACGGCCCAGCTTTCCGCCGAATGGAACCGACCGACGTGGCGGTTATCAAGAAATGGTTACCGTCTCTGTCGAGCAGCGGGAGGCTGCATGTTTTTAAATACTAACGCAGTTTAAGCTCACTGCGGGCCCTCACTGACAATGTAATACCAGCCTGGATTTTTCTGTTGTACGCCTCTAATTTGGCAGGATTTCGGTTTTTGTATCCCTTTTTGTATCAACTTTGTACACGTACGGCGCTTGGCGCAGTTTCACTGTACTGTAGACTATTGAAGTACTCGTACCTCTTCTACGAACAATCCCACTGCAGCCCCAACTTTAAGGAAGACTAAGACTTTAAGGAAGTAATCTGGGCACAATATCCGATTCGATACAAGGCGTCGTTCTTGAGTATCACTATGTGCGTATATATGTCCTATGTACTCGCAGACCCGCCGGTTTTTAACCCTGAGATCGGAAGGAGAGACCTTCAGAGCGACGTTGCGAGTGATAAGTCAGTGCAAGAGAGTACATAGAAGAGACCCGCAGAGAGGGAAAATATTTTGGATTGGATTGTGGGCTAGTAATACTACACGACGAGACCTGCGTTGCTTTTTGCAGTCCGTGCACGAACGGCGATGTATAGATAGATACGTGGAGCGTAACGGAGTATAGATAGACGGTAGCTACGAGAGTTAGATGAGGTGAGAGGAGAGCAAGGGATTCTTGTCGTAAGTAGTAGGTAGACACACAACAGCTAAGTAAGGAGACGAGACGAGATAGATGAGATGGATGAGTGTAGATGGGGCGGTAGATGGATGGGAGATGTAGTAGTGAGATCGGGTCGTGAGGCGCGTCAGACAGAAACAAAGTGAGAAAGGAGGAACAAGCCAAGCCAAGCAAGAGCGGGCGGGATTAATTACATAGATAAGTTGTTTCGTGCGGCGACGGTTAGTCGGACAGCCTGACGCCGACAGATTAGTCGTCGAGCCGGAAAAGGTCGTCCCCGTCGTCCGCGGCGCCAGCAGTGACCGCTGCCCCGCCAAGCGGGCTCATCGGCGCGCCGCCCTGCCACTTCGCGCCCCCGCTCGCATTGCGCTGCATCGGCGCCGCCACCGTCGGCACTCCGCTCGCACCGCTCGCGCGCGTCGCCGCAGAGTACGACCGCTGCGAGAACATCGCGTCCAGCCCCGCGCCTCCCACCGGTGGACTCGCCACCACGCCCTTCGGCGGCGCGGCCGCGGCCGCAGCAGCGGCGGCGTTCGCCGGCGCCGGCTGGTTCATGAAGCTCATGAACCCCGGGCTGCCGCTGAATGCTCCCCGTGCTCATCGTCGCCCAGTCGCGCGACGCGTTGTACCCGCCGCCCGTGTTGGGCGATGTGCCGAAGGCCGCGGGGGACGGCGAGCCTGCGGTGGGCGGGAGTGGGGGAAGCGCATGGATGCGCGAGTAGCCCGCCGCGAGGCCCTGCGGGAGGGACTGCCCTGGGGCAGTGCGCCTGCAGTGCGCGCGCGTTGGGCGAGAGGATGTGCGTGTCGCCTGCGCCCGGGATGCCCGCGTGTCCGTGGTGCCCGTGTCCGTGGGCAGGCAGGCCCGGGGGCACCGCGGGGTGCGCGCCGTGGGGTTGCTGCTGCTGGGTGAGGTCGAACGGGTTCGGGCGGACGTACGGCGAGGGCGCGGCGTTGTGCACGCCCGAAGGGCCGGACTGGAGGTAGTGCGCGATCCCCGGAGGGCCCTGCTGCGCGGCGGCGTTGGAAGCGAAGAGCCCACTGCCGTTGCCACCGACGGTGGGATTGCTCGTGGTGCGCGCGCCCTGCTGCTTGTTCTGCGCCATGTAGTGATGGATTCCCGGGAGGAAGGCGGCGCTGGCGTTGCTGGGCGAGAGGGAAGGGATAGCGCGTTCGGCGAAGGAGGAGGGGGCGCCCTCGAGTTCGCGCCCGCCGAAACCGGAGGCGGAGGAGTAGGAGCTCGGGCCGACGCCCATTGGGGAACCGGGCAGGCCAGACGCCTGGGAATTGGCGTTCGGTGGTGGTGGACCGTTGGCCCATATGGACTTGAGGTCGCCGCCGAGCAGGGACGGGGCGGGGACAGAGCGGGAGTAGCGGTGTCCGCCTCCGCCACCTGCGCCAGGCATTGTGCCCCAGGGGCACGCCCAATCCGTGTCGATGCGGCGACGAGCCCTCCAACCCCGGCGACTGCCCAGAGTTGGTCCTCGACATGCGCCGCATCCGCTCCTCAGGCGTCAAGAGATCCGTGAGGGAGCTCGGGAGGAAGTCCTCGAGATCCTCGTTGGAATCCTCTAAGTTTGCCTTCCGCCGCGCCTTCACGCCGAGCTCCTCGTACTCGACCGAGATGTCGTACTCGCCGTTGGTGGGGCGGCCGTTCAGCCTGCCCGCAGAGAGTAAAGACCCGCGCAAGGGCGACGACGACACCTGGTTCCCGTTGGCATTCCAGCCAGCGAGGCCGCCGCCCATCGCCATTCCGCTGCCCAGGACTGGCGGCCATGCCCTGGCGACCACCGTCGCCGTACCCGAGGAACGGCGGTTTAGTGCCAGGGGCAGAGAAGGGCGACGTGGAGAGGAAGCCGTTGGCCTGCGTCGGAGGGGTGCCCGAGTGCATTCGGGATGATGGCGAGGTAGCAGACGATGGGGGCGAGCCGATTGGGCCAAAGTCCTTGGTAGGGGAACTGACGCTGGGACGGCGCGGGGCGGAGACGGGGAGGGTCGGGGACGACGATTTTGGGACAGTGGGTGAGGGCGACTTGTTGCGGGCAGGGGCGGTCGGGAGCTGATTGCTCTCGTCGAGCACCCCAAAAGACGCAAAGTCGGTGTCCTTGAGAGGAGGTGCGGGGGCCGAGGGGGATATCGTCGCCTTGAGCGGCATATTCATTGGGGGTCTCGCGCGTGTGGGCGCTGTCGATCCGCCGGCAAGTAGGTTGGGGGCATTCCTCGAGTTGTTTCCACCGTCGCGCTTGTTGCCGCCACGGCCCTTTGACTCGCCATTTTTTGCACCGCTGGCTGCGATCTGAGCAGCTTTTTTGTTCTTGCGGTCCATGGCCATGGTCTGGCCCGGTAAAACATGGGCCAGGGCGCACTTGTGGCCAAACTTGCAGTTGCCTTTTACGAACCACGCACAGACGTCCTTCTGTCCCCCGGCCTCGACGAGACTGTGGGAGAAAGGACAGGAGGACCCCGCGGTGCAAGATCCGACCTTGTAGAATTTGCACGGCACATGGGACAGATCTTTTGCTGCTGCGACGTTCAGACGGTGAAAAAAAGCAGAAAAAAAGCTATAGCATACACTTGGACGCAGACGATTTCTTGTTTCCCCCTCTGCCCTCGTCCTTTTCTCGATCATCGGGTGAGTCGCTTCGGTCTGCAGACGGCATTGCAAGGGCTCGGCGGGGCGAAAAAGGCCAGAAAAAGTGCGAAAAAAGGCAGGGAGATGCGAAGGGTGGTACGGCAGAGCAGCCTTTGTTGTAGCAAGACGAGGGCCCTTGCAGGACAGACAGAACCAGACGGGCGAAAAGTGCTGATGAAAGAGGTGAGGCTGACAGGCTGACAAAGCTTTCTGCTGCTTTAGGCCTTTTGCGTCTCTCCTCTTCCAAACCGCTCCATTCCCTCCTGAATGACACACAGCTGCTCTCTCAAAATGGTCTTATCTCGCTCAGAACCAGAAAAAGAATCATCGCCTTCCTCGCGTCATATTTACCGCTCGGGCCGAGTCTCACTGTACTTCTGGCTATGAATATAATGTTTTATAAACCCCTAGTCCCTTCAATTTTTTCTTGTCAAGAACCAAGCTCAACCGGCCTGTATCACGGACCTCTTGTATTCTATTACCGTCGCGGATGGAATTCGGTTTGGACGCTAGCAGCCCGGAATGGCCAGGAAGGCTGTGAAGACCACCGACGTGAGCCCAAGGCAAGCCGGAGAAACAGAGCTGCAGAACCCTCAGCTATCTACGCAGCTTGTGGACTTTTGTGAATGAGCAGCGCGCGCGCGTATCCAGTTTCATTCCATTTTCTTGGTGGGCCTCGCGCCGTTTTCTGTTTGCTTGACGCGCAGGGTACTCCATGACTGGGAGACGTCGCTTTGACTACCCAACACGTCTTGACTAGTATATCGGTTAGTACACGCGCTTGTCATGAATTGCTTATAAGCAATTGCGCGCGAAAGCTGGGTTCGACTCCCAGGTCGAGAGTTCTGGAGAGCCATGAAATTTTTGCTTTTTGCTTTTTGCTTTACGGGCGAAATAGATTGCAATCGCAATGAACATTTTATCTCGTACATACTATATCCGGAGGAATAAATTTGAAAAGGCCAGCATGTACCACGCCCTTGAATTTGGGCGCCCACACACGGGGTCAGCTGTCAGAAAAAAAGAAACTCTCGACCTGGGAGTCGAACCCAGCTTTCGCGCGGATCTCGCCGCCTACTGCATGACAAGCGCGTGTACTAACCGATATACTAGTCAAGACATGTGAGGTGGGCCCAAAGCCGGGTCAGGACCTTGGGAGCGAATTTTTTGCGTTTCACTTGCTCAATTTATTGTAATCTCCAGGTAACCTCTAACATACCCTATCTCTCCGTACTTGCCATTGTGGGATTTTCGGCGCGTCGGTTCAATTCTGGTGAATTAAGAAAATATGACTGAAGGTGGTGATTCGTGCTAGGAAGCGAATTAGACAGTGCGACTTTTGTAGTGGTCCGAAAATTATTCTCAGGGTTTGGCAAGCATTCAAAACTTGAACAAAGTGCACAGATAAAAGAAGAAGAATAAAGTATGTGAAGGCTGTCACGGTAAGTTACTTGAGTGCCAGGAGTCGAACCCGGATCGTCCACCTACAGTATTTGACCACCGAGTGAGATGAGGTGGAGGTGTGCTGTACACCACGCTCGAGCGAAGGGCTGGGTTGCGTAGTGGATCGTAGGGCGCAGATTTCTGACGGATGGATGAAGTGAACCAGAAACTTCAAGACAGGGTCGTAGTCGAAGTCGGACGGGCCCGGGTGGATATCTCCGCGCGGAAGATTATTCTTTGGCTTTGAACCCAAGCTGCTAATGGAGAAAAAAGGCATGTGGACACTCCACTAGTCGAGAATCCCTCCATGCAGTTCGTTCACAAACAGTATGTTAGTACTGTTGTGTACTAGATGTGCAAGAATGCCGTCAAAAATGTTACACAATTTGAAATCAAGCTGACGTGGTATCAAAGCCTGTGGTCAGAGGCAATTACGAGCGGCGTCTTCTGGACCACTCTGCTCTTTGTAATTTACAAAATGTGTCCATGAACTCTTCAACTGTTTGTGCCCCCGCCGCTTGCCGGCCTCTTACCATCATGGCGGTCCCGAAGAGAGCAAACCGGCTCACGTGCGCTGACGTTGATCGGGACTTCTCGGTCAAGTTCCGCCATTCTCCGGTTGCATCTCTTCATTTTCCTCCATGACCTCCCGCCGACCCCGCGGAATCAGCTTCGACTGTGGTTCGCACAAGTTAATCCACTACCGCTGCTTTGAAGAGCTTTCTGGTAAGATTCGCCTGTGCTCTGCGGCGCGCTGCTGCAGGCTTGAAGAACTCGGAATTGACTCGGAATTTGATTATTGAAGACTTAGAAATCACAGGAAATCACCCGTCTCGAAATTTCAATACTTTCGTGAGTAACATCCCCACAACTGGAGAATATCAACGGTAAAATTATGAGACCGGCGTTACTAAGGCTCAAAATATCGAATGAAGGGTCGGACGATTAACGGCCTGACTACGATTAAGCCGGAACTCTGGTTGACTCGGAGGGCTTCTCCCCATCGTGGACGGCTTTCGGCTTTATTGTTGGTTGGATGACTTCAACACCGAGTCGCGTCGCCAGGTTTTCGGGGATACAGCCCAATGCCGGTAGAAACCGCTAGAATATCCACCCTGGGAATTTTGGTTCCGGTTTCGAACGATTTACAAGCATTTGTAAGCTCCGCCTCCGCCATTCCTGAACTAAAGAACTGAACTCGGAACGGGAGTGCGCCCTCTTGCTCAGCGTCGTCACGGGGATCAAGGTATATAAGGCGGCGCAGCTGCCAGCGTTTCTCTATCATAATCTTCCATTAAATGAATCAACAGCGAACCTCTCGGAAATCGCAATCCGACAAAAGCAAGAACATCCAGCTCAACAAGGGCCAGGCATGCTTCAATTGCAGGTACTTATGTCCGCAAATATGTCATGATTTCGATCTTATTTTTGCTGTCCGGACAGACGACGTAAAGTGGTGGGTTGTCCATGATCAGTGGCCGATATTCTATTACTAACTGACAACTCCAGAGATGCGATGGCAAAAAGCCGATTTGTACGCCCTGTTCTAAGTTCAATGGAGGCGGTCTTGAGGACTGTGAATACACCGAAACTGGCTTGGCACAATCACAAGTGCTGGAAGGTATGTTGACAGGCATCTGGCATGATTAACACATTGACTATTTTTGAAGAAAAAATATCCATTATAGAGTCCCGGATCCAAGAACTTGAAAAACCGAATGAGACGGGAACATCGATCGGACTGCACAACCCATATCGGCCAATCCACTCTAGAGGATCTTCGAGCCCACGACTTAATGAGTTTACTCTGGATCCAAGCACATCGATATCACAGCGTGAGTGTTATTTCCTCGAACATAAATCGATTTAATTCCGTTTCCTAGCCAATCTGATTCTCAAGGTGTGTGATTTCCGAAAAATAACCTACTGCTCAGGTTGAACCATGTCCCAAGTCTTCGACAGATTTCTTTCATGCGATGTAGGTCGGAGCGTTTTATATTTCTATGAGGCCTTACCAGAATGACAGAATAAGCAATGTCCTTCAGTACGCCTCACAAGTAGGGTTTTTCTTGAATCCGCAGATACTCGAAGCTCTCTTGGAAGATGGAGTTGTCCCTAGCCAAATCGCTTGTCCCGCGCTTCTTAGCGCTATCTACCTGTGGGGCGCACATCTTTCACGCTCTGAAACAATGATATCCGAAGCCAGCCTTCTCTCAGACGCACTGCGCAACATTTCTGGGAGTCTCTCGAATGGCCGCTGTCCCAACGCAATCATGCAAACACTTCAGGCGGAGGTGCTCCTCGCCCAGTATTTTTTCTGTAACGCGCGTATCTTAGAGGGAAAGTATCACGCCAGTGCGGCAGTGTCCATCGCGCTCTGTTCTGGTTTCCACCACATTCGTTCCGCGGATGCGCGCAACTTGGCAGACTCCAATTTGACGCCTGCCGAAAACCCCATGGAGGAGGGAGAACGTATCAACTCGTTCTGGGCCGTGCTGACGTTGAATAACACCTGGCTTGCGGCGGACGGCTCGCCTCGGGATATATCATATGCGGTTGTTGATACACCGTGGCCCCTCGATATACACTCCTATTCGCAGGTATATGATTTACTTTTGTTCATGCTACATGTACATGCTCATTCCACCCCAGGGGTCTCGAATACTTCCGCTGCATAGCAGCGCAACAGTTGAGAGTTTCCTGTCTAATTTCCCGGACCACGGAACATCCCCAATTGCACTCCACGCTAAGGCCGCCATCGTCTTTGAGCAGGCATCGCGGCTAGCCGCTCGTTTCACCGAGAGTGAGCCCGTGTTTTCCGTTTTGACTGGTAGCACTAACGTTTTTTAGACATTGCGGTCCGGCAAAGCCCTAATATGTTCACCGCCGAATTTAGTAACCTTGACGGAGTTATCGAGTCTCTCAAACAGGCGCTGCCGCCTCTGGAGCCGAATGGTTCGCAATTGCTTCCCCTAGTCATCCACAGCCTCGCGCAAGTGGCTACTATCCAGTTGCATAACCCGTTCTGCCTCAAGCACGATCATTCGCGGTCGTGTGCGATCTCCGCCGCCATGGCTGTTGTCGAGTTTGTACGCCAGACGAACTTGGGCGACGTAAAGTATATCGATGCGATAGTTGGGGTGAGTGTCTCTTTGTTTCTATCGGGCTGGTCTCATGAACGAATGGCGGTAGACCTTGTGGATGGCCGCGTGCCAGGTGCTTATCACAGAGTTGTCACGGGCTAAGTACAGCCCAAGAGCGGTTCACTTTCACGAGGCGGTTAAGACCCTTCTCGCCGCTATGTCTGTGTTTTCTCGGGGCTGTCGGATAATTGGTGGGTCTTCATTGTTCATCTGTACTTCATCTGACGTTGCGTTAAGAGTTACAATTGGAAACGGCGCAGGGAAATTATGCCGCCATCGTGAATGGACTCGGATAACGGGTTTTCGGAGTGTTCGCGTTCCGTCAGTGGGATTACATAGATGTAAACCGCTGTCTATATACCAATTTAGAGTTATACTGTTCCGGCGATGCCTCGAATTTGATCTGAAAGGCAGCACTGTGCTCGAACAATTCGCATTTATTATGTTGAAGGTGTACTAGTAGATAATTGTCTATGCATACCCCGTCACTCTCCAACTACATTCCAAATGCTTCAACATGCAGGCTGATGCTAGGTCCACCTTTCAAGATGTCCGACGGAGTCGAGGCTGTACGCAATGCCAAACGGACATTCTCTGCCAGGCCTGCCGTTCCACAGACTGCGAACTAGGTTAGAAGGGGATAATATTCGACGCTTATCTGCTCACCATTCACAGACATCGAGCCAGACGCTTCGGCGATCTCGGATTCGATGATTGCCCTCACGTCGGGACGCCCATGCAAAATGCGCACATGTGGGGCATCATGGAGCTTTCCGGTGTCGGAGAAACTGACGCTCCCCTCGCTTTTCTCGGCATCGCTCTCGGAGTTCTGGACGGATGCAGTGATGTGGATGCGGATGTCGAGGAGCAGAGAATCAGATAGACCATCGAGAGCACGTAGGAGGTCGTCCGAAATCGCGTTTATGTGTTCTGTACAGTTATAAATGAGATGGATGATTTTACAAGATTCATACGAACCTAGGTGTCGCATGGCCCAAACCATCACAACTTTACGGCATGTTGGATTGGTTGCAGCATTTGCGCCCCTGAGGTAGTTATTTTCAACACGCAGTCGAGGAGAAAGTCAATTCGTACTTACTTTATGAGATCTAATAGGAGCGGAAGAATAAACGAGATTCCGGATCCGCCTGCGAAGGTTGAGATATTTCTCTCAAACCAAACTGGGCCATACCTCCAAATAAAAGCACAGTCTCAAAACCTCGGACGGACGGCGGAAAACAGTAAGGGCCGTCAATGTACGCGCTGGGCATAGCATTGGGAGTAGAAGGGTGGCCTGCGGCGTGAAGAAGCCGCTTCGTAAATCCATCGTGGACACGGAGCAGGAACACCAGTCTCTTGCTGTATCCAGGCAAGGACAACGTCTCCGCCACTGCTACCTCGGACTCGACCGAGTCGCCTTTCTCGACTGGAGAGTCTTCCTGCGAAGAGCGCCCGCTCGCCGTCGCCCGGGGGATGTCTCCGTCGATGCTGGCAATTGTGAAGGGGTGTGCCTCCCAAGGCGTCGCGCTGACG